AGCGACGCGCCATTACGCGCCGCTATTCTCCGGTCCTTCCACGACTCCCCCAGCGGTGGCCATTTCGGCCGCGACAAGATGTTCCACGCGGTCGCGTGTTCATACTGGTGGCCGCGCCTCTACAAATCCGTGGTTCACTACGTCGCTCGATGCGACGCATGTCAACGCACCAAGATCACCGCGGCCTCCAAAGCGCTGCTCCAACCTCTCCCGACACCCGACGAACTTTGGTCGTCCATCAGTATGGACTTCATTTTTGGCCTTCCACGCGATGTACGTGACCATACCGGCATCATGGTGTGTGTCGATCGCGCCTCCAAGTACGTGGTGGCAGTGCCTGTCAAGGACTCGGTCAGCGGCCACGACGCCGCCCGCCTCTTCTTTGACAACGTCTTTTGTCGCTTCGGCCTCCCACGATCCATCGTCTCGGATCGAGACCCCCGTTTCACTGCCCACTTCTGGTCGACGCTCTTCGACCTCTGCGACACCGACCTCGCCATGTCCACCTCCGACCACCCAAGTCGGACGGCCAAACGGAGCGCGCAAACCGTGTCCTTGAGGACATTCTTCGCTCCTACTCCGTCCGTCAGTCCTCCACGTGGAATACGCTCTTACCCCACGCAGTATTTGCATACAACGCCTCCGTTCATGCGTCCACCGGGTTCTCACCCCATTATGCGGTACACTTGCAGCATCCCCGGCTGCCTCAACTCTTAGACAGTCCCCGTTTGAGTGGGGGAGGGATCCAAATCAACGCCCCCAATGCCCCGATCCGGACTATACAAGATGTAAAGTCTTTCGTCTCCAAGCGTCAATCTGCATGCAACAGATCAAGGATAACCTAGCCACCGCCCAACAGCGACAGGCTACTCAAGCCGATAGGCGCGGCCGTTCCAACATGGCGACTTTCCAAGTCGCCGACCAAGTCCTCCTTCACAAGTCCGCTATCCCTACCCATGCATTCCGCGACAGCGGTCAACACAACATCAAGTTGCGAAGCGCATGGCACGGCCCCTTTGCCGTCAAGAAAGTTGTCAGCCCTACTACATACACCCTCGACCTGCCACAAGCTTGGCAGATCCACCCAACCTTCTATGTAGGAAAACTCAAATTATACCTTACACCTACAACTACCAGCGATGCAACGACGAAAGGCGGTCACTTGGACTCCGCGGCGGCTCATCCCCGAAGTCCTCCTCGGACTCCTCTGCCACTTGCCCATCCACGGCCGATGACGCCGACTCCTGCTTCCATTCCCGCTTCATCGGCGCCGCCACCGGAACCGAAGGCGTTCCCGCAACCACCGACGCGGTCTGCGGACCCCCATAGTACCCTGCATCCGGTGGTCCGGCCTCCATCCGCGCCCCCCTCGGGTCGACATACCACGGGCTGCGGCGCTCAAGCCCCTCACGACGCTTCGACTCCTGAGTCGACTCTGCCCCGGTAGTGCTTGGCGCACTTGGGCGCCCGCAGGCCGCCAGTACTTGATCCAAGACGGGCCAACTACAACATGGAGATCAGACGCAGCGACAAGAGCGTCCTTACCTCAAGAGCACGCAGCATTCGAACGCGGACTGCGAGCCGGGAGACAATCTCGGCGGGCACCCGCCCGCTTGCAGCTCGAACCAAGGCGAAATTAGTCATCCCGTTCGCTAACAGCCCCACATTGTGCGGCAATTGGCCCAGCCGCTGCTTCCCACCTCGCTCGCGTTTCAACAACACCAAGACGAACACAATGTTGTATTCAAACATCGTTTCGTCTTGGTACCGTACGACCCGCGGAGCGTCGTAGCTCCAGTCCGAGATGCGCTCGCGCATCTTGTCTTTCCAGTCCACAAATTCCGCCAAGGGAATTTCCAAAATCGTCATGTGCTCCAAGGCACACACAAGCCACATCACCTGGGTTTCGAACAACCCACTCCGACAAAACAGAGTGAGATATCGCTCCACCGGCTCACGCAACGCCGGTGTCCACCCCCAATCCTGCAGCCGCGAGTCCAGCTGCTGCAACACCCGCAAACGGCGCGTTCTGCCGTTGATAAAGTCCACGCAGACGCCGAGGGCGAAATCGTCCTGTTCGTGCAGCTTCAAGGTGCTGACGTCCTCCAAACGCAAATTGCGCATTCCGAGCGGTCCATTCTCGACCGCCATTTGCCCAACACCTTCATCCTTGATCTTGATTTTCGGCGCTGCTTGCACCCCTGGCGTCGCTTGCCCAACCGGCGGCTCTTGCACCTGTACCACCGCGGGTGTCGCTCCCGCGCCTGCCGTTCCCGTTTGGACTTCGACAGCTTGCGCTTCCTGAGCTTCTGCCTCAGCTATTGACTCAGCCATTGACTCCTCGGCCGCCTGCTCCATCTCCCGCTGGAGCCGCATGTCTTCCTTCCTGTGGCGCTCTTCCAAGGCCACGATCTCGTTTCGCAGGATCTCCAGCACTGCCATGGGTCCCACCGTGCGCAGCGCCGTTTGAACCAAGTCGGCCGCTGCCTGGTACTCCGCATGGATCCGCTGGTCTTCCTTCTTCATGAACAGTTCAAGCCGCGGATCTTCACTGTCCTTCCGGAGCTGCTGGGCTCCCGCGAGGAAGTACTCATCACTGTCTGAGTCGTCACCCGTCAAGTCGGCGACCTCATTGGCCTTCTTCCGTTGGTCGTCGGCCATGCCGTCAAATTCAAGAATGCTACCCACGATGAGCAAAGTTGACCATCGCCAGTTGCCAGCGTCCAACGGCCATCAACCACGCGCCAGTTGATTCGCATCTTTCCATATTCTCGTTTGAGTGAGGGAGGGTGTCACAGTTCCGGATCTAAGATCCGGATCCACGTGGCTGTACCACGGCACCCAGGTTGAAGATAAAGTCAGACCCAAACCCACGAGCGGCCAACGACGCCGCTACGTGCCAAGGAAAGAGCAAAGGGTTCACCGCCCATTTGCTTCGGACCACCCCCGGCCGTTTATGTTTACCAACTCAATATGGCTGGTCCTGCTTAGCTTAGTCATAGCGTTAGATTGTTATAACGCCGTCGACCCACTGCAACAGTGTCTGACGAAGGCCCTCG